TTTATAAGATACTTTAGACAATCTTGCTTCAAAACAATGTTTTCTTTTCCATTTTCCATTCTTTTCTCAAAAGCAGCAAATCTATAGAGTCACATTCCTTCACCAATTCTGTACAGTCGGATTTTTTTTCTGTTTGCAACTAAGGTACTATTACTGAAGATATCTACTTTGGTGACCTTATAGCTCCAGGGTGACCTTATAGCGGTCTTCCAGTACCTCAAGGGGGCCTACAAGAAAGATGGGGAGAGGCTGTTCAGGAGGGCCTGTTGTGATAGGACAAGGGGTAATGGTTTTAAAATAGAGGGAGGTAGATTCAGGTTGGATATTAGGAAAAAATTTTTTACCATGAGAGTTGTAGAACACTGGAACAGGTTGCCCAGAGAGGTGGTGGATGCTCCATCCCTGGAGACGTTCAAGGCCAGGTTGGACAAGGCCCTGAGCAACCTGATCTAGTTGGAGATATCCCTGTTCCTTGCAGGGGGGTTGGACTAGATGACCTTTGAAGGTCCCTTCCAGCCCTAACGATTCTATGATTCTATGATTCTACTTTAAGAAAAAGTCTACTTTTAGGGAATGTCTCTGCTTTAAGAAAATACTGCAATTTTTATAATTGCTTTCAAAAGGATATGTGCATACCTGACAATATATGTTTTTTTTTATAATTAGAAAGAGATTGAATTTCTCCAGGTTGGATGTCTCCACACCTTTTTGTAGCAGGATTTATGTTCTCGTTATTTAATTTTTCACTAAATAGTCATTAAATCCTTGTTATGGGATTAATTTTGATTTCACAAATGCTCATGTAAATTTACCAATGTATGTGCTTACCTAGAGCTTGTAAGTATACTTATTTCTTTTCATACAATTTGTTTTTTTCTATGAGCAGTGAAGACCAGATTCGAGATCCTACAGATTTAACTGTGGACAAAACCCCCTCAATTCTAGGTTTCTGTCACATAACTCTGCTCTCGGCAAGTCTTTTGTAACCAAAAGCTAACCTGAGTCCAAGACATCCACCCACCCTAGAGTTTTCTTTAGGTAAAGAAAAAAAGAACTGAAATGTTTAAGAACAGTATCCAACAATCTTACTCCAGCCAAGTTTTACCTCAGAAAAAATTGACGAGTGTTCATAATTTCCTTAAGTACTTAATTAGCTATGCAGTTCTCTTTTGTTTAACAGCACTATGCTCTGGCAAAACACGAATTTATCAAATCTGCCCCAGTAATAAAAAAAGGTTATCCTCAAAGCTTGTTCAGCTAACACCACCACTGTCACAGCTTGAAAATGCTGCTGACTACAAAGTGTCTAGAGCTTACTGGAAAGATAAGGCATATTTTATTCAACTGAAACATTTACCATACAATTGTTGCAAATGAATGCTTAAAATATTTCAAAGTGAATTAGTAGGTACTAATGACACAAAGCTGCTTTCCATGCTTCAAGCGTCCAAATAAAATGTAGTAAAATCACAAGTAGCTGTTCCCATGATGCAGGCAAGGCTGTAAGACTACATGTTGTTAGAAAACAACAAAAAAACCCTCCTCGAACAAACAAACCCCAGTGCAACATTTCCAAATCTCTCAACTGGAAAGAATATTCCTTTGATCAAACTAATTTAGATAATGCTGTGACTACCACAGAGTCTCAGAGTCCAAAATCAAGGAAAACGTCAACCCTTAGCTGAAACATGAGCATGGTATTTACTGCTCATGGGCTCTGAGACAGAGTACAGGGATGGAAGAGAGAGTTAGAAATGTTTTGTCTGACCTTTTATATAACAAGAGGCACAACAGCTCCTTGGATTAATTTCTCTTAAGTAGAACAAAGATGATACACGCACTGGAAAGAAAAAGCCTGAAGAAAGCTGATGGAAGGAAGTTTTGACTCCATGAGGAGAAATGAAGACTTGGTTGGTTTGTGTACAACCACTGTGTCTTCCATTTTACAGAAAACTTCACTGATTCTGCCTTTGACCATCTCCAAAAATAATTACCTCCACCTGCAATGTTTATTACTTTACCTTTATTCTTTTCCTACCACAAAAGCAATCTGAAGCAAGAATGATGCCTACTAAGTACTGGTTCTGAGGAGCAGACCTGTAATTGTGCTAAGATTTAGTAATGAAAATATCATTGAAATGTATGAAAAATTAAACAATTATTCAATACATTCCACAGTATATCAATATGCATAACTTACAAAAATAATCTGCAGAATTTCTTACTCTGCCAAACAATGTTTTTTGGTAATTACAAGAGACTCTGACAAGGCTAAATATTTATTGTTCTCTTTCAGATATTTGGCTATCAGTGTCACAGTACCTATGCCTGGGAAAGAAGAGAGAACAACCACGGTAAAAAGACCATATAATCAAAATATGAAGAGTGAACTATCAAGCCTGAAATACACACACAAAAAAAGATAAGGCAAGAGAAGAATGCCATGAAAACATTGAAAGCAGATAGCAAAACTGTTTAAAGAGCATTTTATCTGCTAGAGGCACTTGATAGGAAAGTGTTGAAGTATCTAAATGCAATGACAGGTCCAAGTCTACTTCTACCGATGTTAAAATCTAATAATAAATCATAAAGTTACCATCTAAAGAGGAAATCCTACCACTTCAGACACTGTATTTGGAGTCTCTAGTAAAAACTATATCTTCCTTCCATGAAAGGTATTTCAAACTCTGTCTAGTTCACTTTCAGCAACCGACTATCATATTCTCGATATCCCCCCTATATGACTGATCAAGAAGCAGAGATAAACCTAAATGGCTTGATTAGCACCTTAGAGGCTGAGCTGAAGTAAAACTTTGCATGCTCCGATTCATTTCTTGCACCCAGTTTGTAAAGCACACTGTTAGGAAACAGTATCATCCTTTTCAATCAATGAATCTTGTAGATCATGGAGTACATGGTGAGGCTATAGGCTGACGTTATGGAATACTGCGAGTGGCTCAAAAACTACAACACTTCAGAAAGACGAATGTGTTCAAGAAAAGAGGATTTGTGAGGACGGACCAAAAGACAAGAGAAAAGAAGCAAAGGAAGTGAAGGTAAAGGAAAAAAAGAACTGAGACTATAGCACAAAGCAGAAGAGACTAAAAGCAGTGGGGGGGAAGGGAGGCAAGGGGAAGAATTGCTCAGGAGTGGTATAAGAACAATGGTATATAGAATGATTTACTCAGCAAGACACACCAGACACTAGTCACCTACACAGTAAAATGAAAAAGGAGAGGCCAGGGAAAAAATGGCATCAAAGATACACAACAATAGATTCTTTTTGCATCGCACAATATATCTTATACCGTGCTTTCATGTTATAATTCAGAAGACAAATGCTTATTGTGTGTATATGTATATACACATACACGTGAATTATACACACATACATTCAGCATGTTAACATGATCCAGGTCCCATCTGGACTACGGTTCCTGAGGGAATGCAGGCCAAACAGCCAACCACTCAGCTCAGAGCCTGAGGCTGCTGCCTTGTCCCAAGGGAATAGATACCCCATCGTGTGCACACTCAAACTGGCTGCTGGGCTTGGGGAAGCGAGGGGCGTGGGGAAGGGGGAAGCATCCTTGCAGAGTTGTCTGTCTGTCCAAAGACTGAAGGGAATGAGGAAGAACACAGCCAATGCCTCAAGTGAGAACATGTGCACCTGAATGTAGTGTAACAAGGAAAGAAGGACACAGCAGAGGCTCAACCCTCACAGCACACAGAAGGGAACTTGAAAGAGAATCCAGTTCCTATCCAGAACTATACAGCTGTACTAGAGCCTCTCCCGGAAAATCAGGGGTAATGGCAGGCTTTTGTGAGCTGTGCTTACTTGTCAAGCTGTCAGTAAATTAATCATGCAGCTTTCAGCAATATCAACAGAGAAACTCAGCCAGTGCAAAGGACACAGTAAGAGAGAAAATCACAACTATTTTAAGTGCAATTTATTCAGTTTTCTACTAAATCTGTTCTATGGCCAGACTCCATAATGAACAGAACTCCCTATGACAGAAATCAAGATAAAGAAATGCTTTTTAAAGCATATACAGGATTTATTACTTTGATATCTGTCCACTTTCTTCCTTCTCTTCCTTTTCATATCTTGGGCTGAAATAACAGAAGTTCCCACCACAACAGTATGTAGCTGAGCAAGTCACCTAGATACCGCAGATATGTTTAGACAAACTTCTAGACAAAGTTATAAATAAGCCTTGGATACAGCTATTCTCATTTTTGTTCTTCAGCGTGTCTCTTTGTTCTCTAAGGATGGAATGAGAGTCTAGTGCCAGTGGAAAGACAAACTGATCTATGACGGGAGCTGACATGCTCCAAAATACTATTTTGGCCTTTAGAGAAGACAAAAGGGGAAAACAAGTATGCGGAGTTGTTAGGGGGAGGGATTCTGTTTGTTTTTATGCACTGCTTTTCTAAATCCTCTCCTAAACCCTTTCCCAAACTCCCTGAGTACAAAAAACTCTAGCCAAAGCCAATATATCATTATGACCACCTCCTTATTAGATGTATACTTTAATACCTTTAAGTATCACAAAGCTATAGGGACTTCTGAACAATGCTCTTTACTTGGTATTTCTCTACCTGCAGAAGTAATAGGAACACAGACTGCAAATATCACTGAATGTGTGACTTCAAAAGAACTGGGTCACAAGAGGGGGTTTTCTTGGCTCTCCTTCCACTGCCCTGGGCATGCAGAGCCTTTTGCTGCTGCTTTCATATTTTCATCAACTCTAATTTAAAGCTTTAGCCTCTCCTGTGTTCCTACTGTAGGACTCTTCCAGAATCTCACGTCTGGGAGAGGTTAGAAAACTATACCCAATCCCTAGCACAAAGGCATTTGCAAATAAGTCACGAATCTCTCCCTCTCAGGTAACAGGTAACAGCAAAGGACCCTAGAGAAGTATAAAATGAAGCAAGTGCAATAATCTTCAGTACAATCTTCAGTACAGTCAAACTCAAGGAGCTCATTAGCTGATACTTACGGAGGCATCACTCCTTTTGGGAGGCCTAATGCGTTGACAGAAATGGGTGGTGGCTGGGATGGCAGCATGGAGCTGAGAAAAGCTGCTGGAGACTGGCCGGAATTAGGAAATCTGGGAGTTGGAGACAGGCTGTGGGAAGGTGAGGAAAGTGAAGGAAGAGGAGGGGGTGGAGGAGGTGGAAGTGGAAAGGAATCACACGCCGGATATGTTGCGGTAGGACTAAAGACAGGTGGAGGTGGGGGCGGAGGGGATGGAGAAGAAGGAGACCAGGCGTACTCCCCTTCTGGAGCAAACTGCTGAGAGAAAGGGGGAACAGGCACTCTCCCAAACTGTTTCTGAGAAGCAGTTGGAGACATAGGAGAAGGAAGGCTGGATGTAGATGATCCTGAAGACGGAGTCACATAACCTGAAGCAGGGCTGATGTTCTGAGCAGCAATGAACTGCTTAGGCCGAGCATAGTTGAAGGAGCTGGAAGACTGCATGGTTGGGGAAGTATGAGAGTTAAGAATACTCATTGGCACAGGAGAGGTGACAGATTGGCTGGACTCAAGCTCCTGGAAGGAGGGGGGAGGAGGAAAGGAAGGAGAAGAGGGAGGGTGATGATGATCAGGTTGCTGTTGGTGACGATACCACTGGCCACTTTCTTGCTCCAGACGAATTTGGTTCTGCAGCTGCTGTATTTTTATAGGATCCCTGTAGGAAGGAAAAATAGACAAAAAGATGATCAGACATGCTGTGCTGGCTAAGGAGGAGGTAAAAGTTCCACTCATCTACAGTCTAGCAAAACCATAGGCATAGAAAGTTCAAAGCATCTGCATATCTTGAATAGCCCTATTTCTTCAGAACTAAAACATTGCTACAAAAGCCCATTTTTTAAGCTCAAGAAGGGGAGAAAAAAACGTATATGCATGGTAGCGGTTAACGGAACCTTCAATTCTTAAAAAAGGTAAATTGTAAGACAATTTGAATATGCTTTGGATAGGAAGAATATGCTTAGAAAAGGAGCAATCCAGGTAATATAAGTAATGGTAAAAATGCTGAAGTTCTTAAAATTTCTTCTAATTTCTTGCCTATTTCATTCAATGGCCCTGTTTGAACAACAAGCCTCGCATATTTACCCAGTGACAACTTCAGCCTTGACTTCTGCTGTAGCCTCTGTGGGCTGATCAGACCGACCTAATTACTGCCATACTTTTAATGAGGCACTCAGAGACAAGGGACCAACTTCTGTGTTAGAATCATCCATGTATCTATAGACGACAATAAAGACTTCAAAGAAACATTTGTAACCTATGGAAATGGTGAACTGAGCTTTTGAACATGATCCTCATATCTTTTGTCACAGAATCACAGAACGTTAGGGATTGGAAGGGACCTCAAAGGATCATCTAGTCCAATCCCCCTGCCGGAGCAGGACCACCTAGATCAGATCACACAAGAACGTGTCCAGGTGAGTTTTGAACATCTCCAGAGAAGGAGACTCCACAACCTCTCTGGGCAGCCTGTTCCAGTGTTCTGTTCCCCTTACTGGGAAGAAGTTCTTCCTCATGTTTAAGCGGAACCTCCTATGTTCCAGCTTATATCCATTTCCCCTTGTCCTATCATTGGATGCCACTGAGAAGGGCTTGGCTCCATCCTCATGACAGTCACCCTTTCCATATTTATAAACATTAATGAGGTCCTCCCTCAGTCTCCTCTTCTCCAAGCTAAAGAGACCCAGCTCCCTCAGCCTTTCCTCAGAAGGGAGATGCTCCACTCCCTTAATCATCTTTGTGGCCCTGCGCTGGACTCTCTCAAGCAGTTCCTTGTCCTTCTTGAACTGAGGGGCCCAGAACTGGACACAATATTCCAGATGTGGCCTCACCAGGGCAGATTTTGTCCCACTTTCTTTTCCCAGGCTTTATTCTTAACTGTATGTCCTGAGAAGTATCTTAGTAGACACTGAATACAGTTCTGAACAATTGCTAATTGCGGTACTATCAGTTCAAATGAAACGAGAGTTTCTTTTAGAAATACAGACATTCACTAGCAGAACAATAAAGACTAGAAAACTAATATGCAGGAGCACATAAAACTGTCAATTATGTAAAAAAAAGAATTTAAGAAAAAGGCAAAACGTTCAGCAGTAAAGCAAACCACACCATGTACTGCCTTTTTTTTTTATTTTTTTTTTTTGTCCACAATGCAGTTGTTTGAATGACTTTGAGATCAAAATTAACTGTGTGGTCTATCACCTTAAAATACATCAGACTGACTTGCTTAAAAATTGTCATGTTCCAGCTGGAAATCATAACTTTATCTCCACACTCCAGATGTCCACAAAGTTCCAGCATATGCACATATACCTTTTCTGTATATTTAATATATAAATACTTTATTATATACAAGCGTGTCATTGTTTATATATAATTTAGGTCATTTAAGCAGAAATTTTAGAAGCTGTCTGCTTAATGCATGGCATATGAATGTATGATTCTGGCACAACAATAGACTTTAGCAACAAAATTAGAAATGGTAATCATCATATTTTCCACTCTAAGATTAATTTTGATATTCTAACCATCCACATTTCCCAGAAAATGTTTTCTGACAATAATTCTGCTTATGGTCTCAGGCTAAAGGAGATTGTTTAGATAACAAAAAGGGGAGCAAGCTTCTTTAGGACAGAAAACCGAAAAAACAGTTATTTACATTTAATAGTTGCTTTTTTCTTTTTTGCCATAAAGTTGGTTCAATTCTAGCAACATCAGTTATCTCATCAACAACACATATTTCAGTACTTAAAAGGAAATTGCATTCTCCTTTGTAATTAAGCCAGCAACAAGAATATTGAAATGCTGCAGTTCACTTGTAAATTTTATGATTTATTTTTTAATGTTGACAATAGAGACTTTAAATCCTCATCAGTTCAATTTGTCACTCCATAGGACACAGGCTGAACCTTATTCTTTGATTTTTGCTAAATTCCATAAAAGTCTCCTTTCCCTAAATGGGCTAAAGCAACAATTTTAGTTCCCATCATCATTTGACTTTCTTGGCTGATGACAAAAATACTTCAGGACATCTCTGACTGGAAAGAGAAAATCCTGTAACAGTTCTACTTTCACCTCATTCTACATCTGGCTATTTGCAGACATACTATCCAGTACCTCTACAATTATTTACAAATAATACTTATTTTATTTTCAATCAAAATCACCTCCAATATTTTTTTTATTTATTACAGAGATGCTATGGTTAAAAAAATATGGAGGAAATTTAGTATTGTAAACGGTGTTCTGAATATAGAAGAAATTTAGCTGTCTCCAGCACTCTTATGTTTACCCAACATGTGCTGAAAGCAAGTCCGAGTGTCTTGTCTTGGGACTTTTTTATGTTCATTGCCAAGTCCCATGGCGATGTGCCCAGCCAACAGCATAACATAAATGACCATCTATGGCCCTGTCAATGGTAAGGATACTACTACAGCGCCTGCCACTGAACTCCTGCTCTACCAATCCGGGCAGAAGTAAAGACCAGAGTCAGGGTACGTCTGCAAGAGGTTGGCAGGCAAACGTCAGGTTGCTCTGCTCTCACACTAAGCTTGACTCGAGGCCACAGGAATAGACGTGCCTGTAAGTCAGGGTTTATTAGCTCAGGGCAGCAATAATTCCATTTGCAAAGCTTTTGATCAGCTTAGGGTCCAGACAAAGCAAGTGCACGTCTGCTTGAAAAATAACATGCAGACATAATCGCTATCGCATCAGTCCACATAGCAAAAAACTATCGAGACTTTCTGAGAGCAAATTTTCATTCCAGTGGTAGAAACGCACGATGCTTGTCTGCAAAGGAATGTTCTCCGCCTCAGAGCTATTCTTTTAACAGCAGATGCTGCCCTATACTTATTAACTGCTTGACTACATACATCCTAGGGATGTGTCATTATGAAGAAGAAAAAAAAGACACAAAAAGAAAAATCAATTTGCAAGCGTTCCTTTGCAATGACACCAACAGTGGTGGAAGCTCTACACAGGTAAGTCACTGAAAGATAACACTGCTGTGCTACAGCTATAGAGCACCCAGCAGCCAAAACGATGCAAGGGAATTGATCTGTTATGTTGCCCTCATCAGTAGGGAAACAAAGAAGGCAATTAAAAAAAAGCTCAGTTTTTGCATGAGATTACAGGAAAAATTAGTTTAATTGTAATTACATCCTCTTTCTAATTAGCTGAAATATGTTTTGTAATCCCGGTGTTTTAAAGGGCACGCACGCTTTCAGGGAATGCCTCAAGCTTGTTTAAACAATAGAGAATAAAACCTACTTTCTCATGCGGAGTTTTTGGTTTTGCCAAATAATTAATTATAACAATTGAAGAATGAACAGTTAAAAGTAAATTTTTAGTAAAATTAAATCAGCGAATCAGTCATAAAAAACCACATAACTACAGTAAAGTGAATATTGAGAATTTCAAGTAACTTACTGAAAAGCAGGCCTAGTAATACCCAAATGTTTTCAAAAGGCCTGCTTCAGTATTTGTGATTTTTTTTTCAATACCAGATATTCTTACCCAAGATTTTTATACACATTTTCAGATATTCTAATAGGTATGCTAAAACAGTTAAAGAAATGCAAAACGTAAAGCAGTAATATTTTAATTGCAACAGAGGGAAAAACAGTATTTATGTAGTTATTATTTACAATTTGAATATATGTACAGATTCACTGCCCACAATACTTAATCTTTTCTTATCAGCTACTGAAACAGGAAGGCAGGGACTTTTCACCTTCACTTACAAATTTGTCCCAGTTTTCCACTTTTCTACACATTTCTAACTGTGGAAAGAGATGGAAGAATGGCAAGAAGGAGGGGAAGGAAATTCAGTTTGTTCAGCAGTTAAGGATGAGGATTTGTTTGCATCACTAGCAATATCCAGCGCCAGCTGATGTGCCAGTGAATAGAAGTTACTCCTGGAGCACTGTTTGTGCTACACAATGTCCATCTTCCTTTTCTTTATAATATTAAACATTGAACAGCTAGAATATTTTTTATATTTCTATGCTGTCTATTTAGGCATTTCTTTATTTAATGTACAGGTGAATAACAAGACGCAACATTACACATTCCCAAGTATTTCTATAATTTTCTTTTTCTCTCTGTCTTCTCTGAGAACAAACAACTGAAGGAAGATACAGCAACTAAAATTTTTTAAAATTAATTTATTGGCTTACTCTTGGAAACGAAGCTAAATGGAGCTAAACGATAGAAATATTTGAAAAGAGACATTCAAAGGGAAGACTAGAGACATTACGTTTCTTGGTGGGCAACTATAGAATACTATCTCTTACAAAGCAAAACACACTGATAGTATGAGAAAATAGTGGATAGAGAGGATCAGAATCTTCTCTAAGAATGCCAGTACATACAGCATATTTTAATAGTTACTCAAGAATTCCTGTTCTGAGGTATGCACTTGGTTTAGATTATAATCGGCTGTTTTATCTTTTTATCCCATTTTCATAATGTTTTTTCTTCCTGATACCTCCTTTGTATCACATTGTTTTGAAAATTAATAGAACAGTCCTTGACTTTGAGAACTACACTGGTAACAGCCATCATCACGAACTGTAATTCCAAGCGTAGGCCAAGTGTGTGGACACAGTGATATGGAGGAGGGGAGACAGGCAGATGGTTGCACATCTCTGAAAG